AAAAAAAAAGGTTGCCAAATCCTCCCACGTTTCTCTGAGTCAAGGCGAAAGCCCTGGCACCTTGTACGCGAGCCTTGTCTCCTCAAAGCATTGCGGACGCCCTTTCGGCGTCATAAATGGTGTGACTGTAGTTATTGGACTCCTGAAATCGTCTTCTTTGGATTGACCCTTGCAGCGTCCCGTCCGTTGCATTGAGCCCGCTCCTTCTTCCCATGCCCGAGCCGCGCAAAAGTTCCGTCGTCTTCGATCAATCGCTTGCTGCGTCTTGCGAGCTGATCGAGCGTCACACTTCACCTTCCTTCACAAAGGTGCCGTCCAGCTTCTTGCCCAGGGAGCGCTGAAACTGAGTCCAAGCCCACCTGTCCGAAAATGCCGCGTCGCTCTGCGGACCAGAGAGTCCGTGGAAGTAGCAGCGCGCGCGTTGGGGTGCACACATGATTCAGCGTAGAGGCGGCACACAGGGATCGTAGGTGAAAGAAGAAGGCGTTGGTTTCAGGCGTCAGTTTCAGGCTCGATAGCAGCCATCTGCATGGTCATGACTGGGATGCAACGTGCAAGCTCCGATCACCTCACCTCGTACCACTGATTGATGGCTATACACAACCCCGCGCTTGCGCCTTCTCCCTGTCCATCGTCCACCTGCTGTGCCACCGCATGATACCAGCTGCATTGAGGTGGCAAGAGACGTGAGCCTCAGCTGTGGAGCGGCTGGTCTTGATCTAGAATTTTACGGCTCGAGACAGTCCATCCGACTCACCCGGCAGGAAGATACAGAGTCTGACCTTGGCCGACTTTTACGCGCAAAGGAGGCAAAGACTGAGCGTACCTCTTGCACGGAGCGTTGCGCTTGCTCGTGCAAGTTTCGAGAGGAGAAGGTCTGATCCAAGGCGTTTTGGGAGCGGAAGGGACCGGACGGAGGACCAAGTCGGACGATTTGAGCGCGTTTGCAGCAATGCAGTCACTGTCACTCTCCTTGGCGTCGATGGACCACTGATAGATGGGCAGAGGCTCAGCTGGACAAGGTTGGGGTACAAGAGGGTGTGCAAAGTCAGAGATGTGCTTCGCAATTCTGCACATGCTGCTGCACCAAGGCTTAGCTCTCTCGCTGCCCTGAACGCACTTTCTTCCAGCGCCCAACCTTCGGCGGGCGGCCAGAGGTAGAATTCCTTGACGCCTCTGACCACTGTGAACAGATTCTCGTAGTGATCGCGATGAGTGCTGGTGAATGCACGATCATTGCCCACCCACAAGTTGATCGCTTCTGGCTCCTTGTCCAGTGCTTGTGTCGCGAACAAGAACGACAACGAAGCGTTGTCTTTAGAGCGTGTAGGCGACGCGGTCGTAGATGACACGTGGCTACGAGGGGAAAAATCATCACACAGAGGAGAGAGCGCGGGCTCAGAGGTCAAGTTGGAACCTTGCGACTGGAGGTAAACGACGGGCGCGTCATCTTCGCGGCTAGAAAGAGCGCCCACCAGATCCTCGAATGTCCTGTGCACGCAAAAGGCGTGAGCGGTAGCATCGCGTCAAGCGTCACCTCCGCGGTGCGTCGTCAGCAAGGCGACAGGCGCGGAGTGAGGTGAGACAATTGGGGATGCGCGGGAATGCGCCTCTCACATGTCGACTTCCAAAGGCAGCGCAAACACGTCTTGACCTTGGTGCAGCAGCAGCAGATCATCAGCCCTGCCATTAGGCGTCAGCGCTACATTCACCTTGGCAGACCCCATTCTCTCCATCAACCAAGTCGTGCTGCTCCACTTTTTAAGCGCGGGCCGATCATCCACACATCCTTCTATCAGCACCGGGCTGCTGCGCGCTACTAGACGCGAGAATTCCAATGCGC